ATCATATTGACTCGTCATACACGATTGTAATTGTATATGTGACTCAATAAATATTATTATTATTATTTAGAAAGGACAAGATATCTATGACTAGATCTGCCATTTCTGAATCCATGTTGGACTTTTGACAATGAAATCATTGAAGTCATCAGGCAGTGAAATTAAATTACCTGTAGTAAAAATTGTTAAAAGTATTTACTATACAATAAAAAAAGAGGAGAAATTGTTAAGTCAGAACTCCTCACACACATGAGAACTTGCAAAACAAATAATAATAATAATAATAATAGAAAATAAATAATACATTTTGTTGGTATAAAATAGTATTATGATAAAGAATGTCACATGGTGGAAAAAGTTGACTTGAGTTGCAAAATAAGTCTCATGAATTAAATTATTCTGAGATCTGTGTACAAATATGTATGTATGGACCCTAATTCCTTCATAATGAACTAATATACAAGATAAGCTAAATAGGTGTAAAGAAAGGAAAAAAATCTACCATTATACTTCCCACTAAAAAAATCCACATTAACCTATGTGAAAAGATTGCAAAAAAATAACTAGGTGCTGACGTCGCAGAATGGCAACCGAAACGTCGGCACCTTCGCCATGGACGCGGCGTTTTGCCCGGACAGCTAAATAAATACTGACTCCAACCGCGGAAGCCTATGCTCTTAATTAGTGCAATGATCACTAAGTGAATAAATCTTTGATCTTTCATTTTGTTTGAAGTATGCTACGCGTTTTAGGTCCTATTGGTATCATGAACATTTTTATACCGGTGCTCCTGCCGCTTGGTGAGATGCAGCGCCAACCCACAAGACGGCTTGCAAGGGATTTTCCCCTCTAGGTATCTAGGTATGCCGTCTCCGAGGTACCGCCACAGCTGGAGCAAGTTCCAAAGTCTCGTCTGATCAAACATGTATATTATAGCGTATGTGCTATGTGTTTAATGGCGGAGAGGATTTGGGATGGAAGACAAAGAAAAGATCGCGCACGGTCCGCAAATCGTTTACAATCTACAGCTCCGACAGGTGCGTTGTATTGATGGAGGAAAAGGAAAACAATTGATCAGACCAGCAGGCCGCTAGAATTCTCATCCCAACAGTTACTGAAATCAACTCTGCTATAAATATGGCTAGGATCGAAAATCTACCACCGCCAGGAATCGAATGTCGGTCTCTGTAAAGACAGACTCTGAACTAACATGTGACATGACAGTTTGTAGGAATTTCCCTAACATATTTCACTGTTAACTAATTCTCACATTACTGTCTTGTCGGCCATTATCTCTGCAAACATTGCTTTCGTTACAATATTTCATTTAAGTTTTCACATTATCTCAAGGCCCTGTGACTCCTCAGCTGTGAAAATATGATTTATCACACCTCTATTGTACATAAAACAATACTTAAACGATAAAAATAACTGTGAGGTACCGGTATATTTATTCAAATTGCACTTATTACGACTTCGAATATACACAATGGAAGAATAGGTGTTGTTCTATGTTTACACACTATAAACAGCTTTTTACAGTCAGTTTTATGTCCTCAATCAGCAATTCATCTTTCATGGCTGTTTCAAGTGGTGGGAAGTCGGGAATGAAAGATATCATAAAACGAATAATGGTAAAAAAGTATAATTTACGTAATATTGTGTGTTATATGATTTACTACATTCCTGCAAAAATGGTATGGTATGAAAATTGTTAAAGAATGCATAAGATGACCTAAAAAATATTTTTAATTTGTAAGTTCAAACTGGTTGGGTTCACCATCAATGATGTGAAATGAAGTGTAAGTAAATAAATCACAAAACGATGCAAATAAATATTTAAATAAATATATTTTTAAGTAATGCACCTTCGTACGAAACGTCAAATTTTCCCTCCAAATGAAGCCTTGTTAGTGGCAATCGCAAAGAATTTCTATACAAATCCTTAGACAATATAGGAAAACGAAATGTCCCTGGAATCACAGTATAACTCATAAAGTGATGATAGTCGTTCTCTTCTAAATAAACGAATCAAACTGTAAGATTTTAAATTCATAAATATACTGACAGTGGTTATCAATAAAATTCAACTATCTTGAGAGAAATTGGTGACCCAAAAACGAAGGAAGTGAAACTTTCGTTATACTTCTATCATGGCAAAATGTAACTAATTTATGTCTTTCTTTGCCTTATGCATTTTCTAATTTTTATTAATTTTGGCACATTTCCGCAAATCTTTGAATTCATTTGAAATATAACTTCCAGGATGTATTAAACATGCACATTAACCTTATTAAAGTTCAAATAAATGTTTTTAAATTGAAGGGATGCATATTATCTAATATAGGCAAAATAATTTTGATTATAATCCTATTATGGCGTTTGCTTTCACCAACTACTGTTTTTATATTACCATTGTCTCCTTAATTCCGTTACTAAAATTTTGTTCTCTGGAGAACTCTAAAACTCCTTGACAACTCTTTGGTGTTCAGCGCTCGCGTTGATTTTCTTGTGTGAAATGGAATACATTACCCAGTCTCTAATACTTTCTCTTAAATAAAATTATATTATGAATTAAATCAAAAGGAAAATTATATTTTTTTATTTAATGAGTGATCCATACAATTTTTTCTTTAAAGTATTTTAATATTAAAATTTAACTTGTATTATTTTCAGACGCTCCTCATGCAGAGCAAAGGACGCTATTCCCACAATTCTCTCCAGTCGTAGTCGAGCTCAGCAAGGATCATGGCGGAGATGTTTAAAATTGGGGATTTGGTATGGTAAGTTCAAGCGTATTTTGGCCATAAGTAGGTATATATCGAGTTTACAATGTATATACATCTCCTGTTGATGAATTGTAATATTATTTTATGACGTTACAGGGCCAAAATGAAAGGATTCTCGCCTTGGCCTGGCCTGGTAAGTTTAGTAGCCCCAGACGCTGAGTTGAGGTGCAGAAGAACCGTTAAAAAGTGTCCTAAAGGTTTACGAAACAATGTCAACTAACCAAATTAATCCTAAAGATTAATCTGCTGTCAGTGTCGACCAATGTAGACTGTGTTGATGTTTTGGAGCTGTATGTGTAAATGTGCATGTGTAAATCTTGCCAGGGAGAGGTTAGTTTCTGTGTTAGACGTGTGCTCTGAGCGGTTTCTTTTGAAATTGAGACTGTTTCAGAGTGTTTTATTGGAGCACCGAAGTGCCTTTTAAGTTAGATAATGGTGTTAACACGAAATATCGAAGATTTCGGGCCACGCCTTTCGAAAAAGTCATTTGTTTGTATTTTGAAGTAAAATGAAGGACTTAACTCCTATTTTCCATATCTTTCTCAAAGATTTTACAGGAATGGTGAATGCAAATTTAATTTTTTACTGAGCTTATTACTGACTGCTTCAATTTGAACAGTTGGGATTGATTAAAAGGTGGAAGGAAGATAGTCTTTTTTTTTTTAGTAGTTAATTAATGTTATGAGAAGTTGTGTAAGTGTATTTTATGTGTGTAGTAAGAATTATGTCACTAAATAAAAGCATTTTAATTTTTCTTACTTTTCATTCTAGTAGCAGGGTGGGATTGCAGGAAGTTTGTTTTCAATGCTTTGTCAGATTTAGGGAATTTATTTATCTTAGACGTATAGTGATAATTTTATATATCTACAAGAAATGCATAATTTTTAGGAAGAGGTGGCATTTGTATATATTCTTCCTTTTTTTTTCAGGTGTCAAACCCAACAAAAGACCTAAAAAGACCAACATCGAAGAAGAGTGCACAGCAATGTATTTTTTTCTTTGGCACAAACAATTAGTAAGTATTTGATACTTTTAATAATTGTATGGCCTCAAAACAAGTGCCTATAAAATATCAAGAGGTTGTAGAGTACAGGATGTGAATTAACTTGCTCATTTTTTATTGAATTGGAGGAAACCATTTACTTGATGCAGGGTTTTTAAAACATGTATAACTGAATAACAAAGTTTAGATGCAACATGAGACCTACATTGCTCTCCATATCACGTAAGGTTTGTGAATGTTCTATTGCTGTGAATTTGTTTTTGTTTGTCTCTTAATTGGTAGTAGTAATCTCTATCTTGTGCAGTGGGAGTTCCATGGGGAACTGTGCCACCCCCATCAAAAAAAAGGCCTAGAGATACCATTTACTTTCCTTTATTTTTCAAAACTGATTTAAATGTTCATTTATGTTCAAATTATGTAATTATTTAAACAGTAATATTGTATAGAATCACATCTACAGTATATTAATAATACACAAGATAATAACAAATGTTTATTATTTAACAATCTACAATGGCCCCTCCAAAATGATCGGCTAGATCCGCCCCAGGTCATGTGTACTTGTGTGAATTTAGTCTCGTTAGTTTGTTTATGGTATTCTCAGTTTCAAAGAATTTACAGATTTTTTGAAGTTTTCCTCTTAGCTTGTGTGAATTGTAATCTTGAGCTTTATAATCTTTGGATTCAGTTTTATTGGCAATTTCCTGTCATATTTTACTTGGAGTAGTCATTGGTAGTATTATTACAGTAGTTGGGGTGAGGGATGAAGAAAGTATGTTTTCTTTGGTTTTTGTATTCGAAATATTGGTTTGTGGTTCTGTTATGAACTTGTATTTCTGAATTTGCATTCAAGATAAAAAAAATCTTATTCATTTTTAGACATGTGATTTCATAGTAAAACCTATTTCCTTGGGTTTCTTTACAATGAAATGTTTTTTATTGATATGTTCTTTTGAAGTTGGTAAGATTGGGAGGTTTCTATTTGAACTCAAGGTACTTGTGATTTTGGATTTGTTTAGGGACTTCGTCTATATTAAAATTCAATTGATATGTTAACAAATCAGTCGTAATATGTAGGAATATAATAGAATCAGTTTGTCGATAAAAGCAGCAGTGTATTATGGAGGTATATCTAATTACAATTTTTGGGCACAATGTAAATTTTTATAGTTTCCAGATTGTAGTTAGAATGATTGACCCATTCTCTCTTTGCAAATTATAAGTTTTTTTGAATCTCTTCAGTCTTGATATTAGAATTTTCTTCTGATGGAAGTTACGTATATTAATTCTATTTTTGACTGCATCAATATAGATATGTCTAAACAATATCTGGAAGAAGATAATTGTATTAATATTTCAGGTAAAACTGGATCACAAAATAATTCAAATCTGGCCACTTTATTTTTAAATCATAAAATGTTTTGATACTTGAAATATATTGCAGGTAGTTAGAAATGTGTGCTCCTACTTGTAAAATTAGAAAATATTGATAATTGGTCTTAAACGTCAAAGCT